TTCTACCCCCACCCGCATGCTTTTTTTTTTTTTTCTAATTGGGGTCCAGCGACCTCCTCGCTCGTGAGTCACCACTCTTCTCTTTCTCTGTGTGTCTTCCTCTTTTCTTTTGTTTCCTCCCTCTTTCTGTTTTCTCTCCTGCGCTCGTCTCGGTAAGACTCTGAACATTGCTCAGGTATGTCCTCCTTGCTCCTCCTTCCTCCTAATCGCTGGTGAATGCAGCCCATCGGGCTTTTTTCTTTCCTTTTCTTTTTTTTTTTTCCTCTTTTCGCACACCGGGCTCACTAGGCCACGTTCTCCTCTCCGTCTCTGTCCTTTTGATGGCTCTCTCTGTCTCCCGCTCGGCAGCAAAAGCAACGCTGTCCCGTGTTGGAGGAGCAGCTGGTGGACCTGGTGGTGTACGCCATGGAGCGCTCTGAGACCGAGGAGCACTTTGACGCCGACGTGGGCGGCACCAGCCAGCTGCTGTGGCAGCACCTCTCGTCGCAGCTCATCTTCTTCGTCCTGTTCCAGTTCGCCAGCTTCCCGCACATGGTGCTCTCTCTGCACCAGAAGGTGAGCGAACACTCAAGCTCCTTTTTGCCACCACTTTCATACATTGGGGGGAGGTATCCAAAGTGTTTGCCGTGTCTTCCAGCTCGCAGGAAGGGGTCTGATCAAAGGGAGGGACCACCTGATGTGGGTCCTGCTGCAGTTCATATCGGGAAGCATCCAGAAGAACGCCTTGGGCGACTTCCTTCCTGTCATGAAGCTCTTTGACCTGCTGTATCCCGAAAAAGAGGTGTGTTGGTTTTTCGCGACGGATATGATCCATCGATTGCCTTATCATCGTGGAATGTTCTCTCGGGTGTGTTTCCCAGTGCATTCCCGTTCCGGACATTAACAAGCCGCAGTCCACCCACGCCTTCGCCATGACCTGCATCTGGATCCACCTCAACCGCAAGGCTCAAGGCGACTCCAACCTGCAAATTCCGATCCCGCACTCTCTCAAACTGCACCACGAGTAAGCAAAATGTGAATTCTTGGCACGGCTGGAATCGGTGCAGCGGAAGTCAAACGCCACCGAGGTCTCACTGCGACTCAATGTAAATTCCAAGCTTGCCCTCACCAATTTCTGCCACTTTGCGTCCGTCAAGGTTCCTCCAGCAGTCATTGTGCAACAAATCTCTGGGCATGTCCGACTACAAGATCGCCCTGCTGTGCAACGCCTACAGCACCAACTCGGACTGCTTCGGCGTGCCAATGGGCGTCCTGGTCGAGACCATTTACGGCACGCAGTCCATGAGGATCAACCTGCCGGGCACCAACTGCATGGCGCTGGGCTCCTTCACGCCGTTGCCCATGAATCTGCTGGACTCGGTCACGGTGCACGCCAAGATGAGGTGCGTTGCGCCTTTTCAAAAGCAAAATGGAAAAAAAAAAAACTTTCATCATGCTCAGGTGGTTCCCTCTCGTCGGTCCACGTGCAGTCTCATCCACAGCATCGCCACGCGTGTCATCAAGCTGGCGCACGCCAAATCCAGCCTTGCCTTGGCGCCCGCCTTGGTGGAGACGTACAGCAGACTCTTGGTCTACATGGAGATTGAGTCGTTGGGCATCAAAGGCTTCATCAGTGAGTTTCACAGACCGGTCCGGCCCACGCCCCCAAAACATTATTATTACAAATTTGCAATCATGCGTATTTGCATGTCAGTCCTGTCAATCATTTCCATAATTTGCTCAGCGTTCTTTGCGTTGAACTCGTACTTTGTGCGCGTCCAGGCCAGCTGCTGCCCAACGTGTTCAAGTCTCACGCGTGGGGAATCCTCCACACTCTGCTGGAGATGTTCAGCTACCGCATGCACCACATCCAGCCACACTACCGCGTCCAGTTGCTCAGCCACCTGCACAGTCTGGCCGCCGTGCCGCAGACCAACCAGAACCAGCTGCATCTCTGGTAACCTAAGATGGAGATGGAGAGACCGTGGAATATCGCTTAAAAAAAAAATTCAATTTAACAGACAGTCAATGTGTTTTACCGGATGACCCCCTCCCCACTACGAATTGCTTAAATCGAGGTTCCACTTCCTGAATGTCATTAAATTTGGATTTTGTTGTAATGTGATTTTAAATTTTTTTTTTTAAATGGGCAAAGAAATTGGCAGATTTTTCCGATTAGCTAAGATCGGCTGGGGGGGGGGTTAATCAGTGGTGCGCACCTGCTGTCTATTTCCCACCTGGTGTTTCTCCTTCCCCCGTAGTGTGGAGAGCACGGCCTTGCGCTTAATCACGGCGCTGGGCAGCTCGGAGGTGCAGCCGCAGTTCACCCGCTTCCTCAACGACCCCAAGACGGTTCTGTCGGTGGAATCGGAGGAGTTGAATCGAGCGCTCATCCTCACCCTGGCCAGAGCCACGCACGTCACCGGTATTCCTCCGAGTCACAAACCCAAACACCGCGTCCCTCCCTGGCATTTAAAGCAGGCCCGTCCGCGTATGCAGATTTCTTCACAGGCTCGGACTCCATCCACGGCACGTGGTGTAAAGACATCCTCCAGACCATCATGAACTTCACCCCTCACAACTGGGCCGCGCACACCCTGTCCTGCTTCCCGGCGCCACTGCAGGTGCGGGCTCGAATCCGGGCTGGATCGCTCGTTGCTGGGCTTTCCCCGCTTTGACACCCCCCCCTTTGTCCATCTCTGCTGCTAGGCCTTCTTCAAACAGAACAACGTCCCTCAGGAGCCGCGCTTCAACCTGAAGAAGAACGTGGAGGAGGAGTACCGCAAGTGGAAGTCCATGACCAACGAGGAGGACATCATCACGCACTTCTCCATGCAGGGCTCGCCGCCGTTCTTCCTCTGCCTGTTGTGGAAAATGTTGCTGGAGACCGACCACATCAACCAGATTGGCTACAAGTCAGTACAACGGCGCGTCCGGTGGATAGGGAAAGTCTACACACCCCTGTTCAAATGCCAGCTTTTTCCATCCATCCATTTTCCGATCCGCTTTATCCTCACAAGGGTCGCGGGGGGGTTTGCTGGATCCTATCCCAGCCATCTTCGGGCAGTAGGCGGGGGGACGCCCTGAACCGGTTGCCAGCCAATCGCAGAGCACACAGAAACGAACAACTATCCGCGCTCACACTCACACCCAGGGACAATTTGGAGTGTTCCGTTGACCTGCAACGCATGTTTTTGGAATGTGGGAGGAAACCGGAGTACCCGGAGAAAACCCACACAGGCCCGGGGAGAACATGCAAACTCCACACAAGGAGGCCGGAGCCAGAATCAAATTCTGCACCGCTGCACTGTGAGGCGGAAGTGCTAAGCCGTCGACCAACGGGCCGCCCCGGGGGAGCACTCGAGTACCACATCCACATAAGCCATTAAAAAAAAAAAAAAAAAATACAAGAGTTGAAGGCATTTAAAACCAAAGGTAAAATGATGACATTTCCATCCAATGTCCACCATGCTGGACAAAAAGGATTTGAGTTTGCGTATGGTCAGGAAACAAATTGCATGAGAAACCATCAGTACGATTTCCGATACAAATGTCGTTTCCGCAGCGTGCTGGAGCGAATCGGGGCTCGCGCGCTAGTGGCCCACATGCGCACGTTCGCCGACTTCCTGGTCTACGAGTTCTCCACGTCGCCCGGTGGCCCCCAGCTCAACAAGTGCATCGAGATCCTCAACGACATGGTGTGGAAATACAACATCGTCACATTGGATCGAGTCATCCTGTGTCTGGTGAGCGTCCGCCGTTAGAAACCCCGCCCCGTTGTCGCGGCGCCCGCCTCTCACCCTCCGACCCTTTCCCGGCGCGGCCCCGCCAGGCGATGCGTAGCCACGAGCGCAACGAGGCCCAGGTGTGCTACTTCATCATCCAGCTGCTGCTGCTCAAGTCGGACGACTTCCGCAACAGGGTCAACGACTTTGTCAAGGAGAACGCGCCCGAGCACTGGCTGCAAAGCGACTGGCACAACAAGCACATGAGCTACCACAAGGTAGGGCACACGCGGCACGTCACGCTTGTTGCGTTTTGGAGCAATCTGATGCATTTGGAAAATCTTGCCCGACTTAGAAACCCTACCAAAGCTCTAACTTGAGTTTCAAACACAAACCTGACTTTAAAAACCTCTCAATTTGAAACCCTATTCTTACTAGGAAACCCCTATCCCTGGTATAAAACCTTCTTTTGAAACGCACACACTAGTTTGAAACCCTAACCCGAGTTTGAAGCCCTAATTTGAAACTATAACCCAAATTATACCTTCAATTTGGAACCCTATCCATAAATTGCAACCCTACTTAGAAACCCTTCTCCTTACTCTAAAGCCTTACGTTGAAACCCTAACACTAGTTCGAAGCGCTCATTTCAAGCACCAAACCTAAATTAGATACCCTAACTCTCGTTCAAAACCTTACTTTTAAGCCCTTTTCTTTCTGTCCTCGCAAACGTGTGATCTGTGGAGCGCTAAAGGTTTTGCCGCTTTTGTTGTGCCGCTGCATCAGAAATACCCGGAGAAGCTTTACTTCGAGGGCGTGGCCGAGCAGCTCAACCCGCCCATGCAGGTGCAGCACCAGTACATGCCCATCTACTTTGGCAACGTGTGCCTGCGCTTCCTGCCCGTCTTCGACATCGTCATCCACCGCTTCCTGGAGCTCATCCCCGTCTCCAAGTCGCTGGAGACTCTGCTGGACCACCTGGGCGGCCTCTACAAGTTCCACGGTCGCTAACATGAGCATGTCAATGTTTTTTTATTTATTTTTTTGCCGGTCTCATACGCCTGTTGTTTATTTATATGTGCAGACCGGCCGGTGACTTACCTGTACAACACCTTGCACTACTACGAGCGCCACCTGAGGGACAGAACCAGCCTGAAGAGGAAGCTGGTCCACGCCATCATGTTGTCACTCAAGGTAGGCCGAGGAGCCACCGAGAGTCATTCCGGAAACACTTGAAGAACTTTGAATTTATTCTCAGATTCCCACCAGGCTCCATTGCGATTGCTAAGGGCACAGTTTAGAACTTTTCAACCATGTTCTGGCAAAAGTAACTCACCATTTGTTGATGTTCCAGGACAACCGGACTCCTGGCTGGTGCCTGAGTGAGACCTACCTGAAGTTCGGCATGAACCAAAGAGACGACACCATTTGGACGCCCGACGACACCTACTACTGCAAGCTGATTGGACGCCTGGTGGACAATATCCTTCGATGCGCCTCAGTGCCTCCTGAAACGTCTTTTTGAACAATCTGACCACCTTGTGTTGCGCGTCCTTAACACGGAGCCCACCCATGGCGGGCAAGTCGCCCGGCCCGTTCCCCAATTGCGACTGGAGGTTCAACGAGTTCCCCAACCCGGCGGCTCACGCCCTGCACGTCACCTGCGTGGAGCTGATGGCTCTCGCCGTGCCCGGCAAGGACGTGGGCAACGCTCTCCTCAATGTCGTCCTCAAGAGGTCAGAGCGCTGCTTTCACACTAACTTGTTTATTTTTTTTACAGTGGCTCTCAAACTTTTTAGACGACGTACCACCTTAAAAAAACACCTTAATGATCAACATTCAAAGACTGTCCTAGGCCAAAGTGTTGATGCATGTTAATAAGTGAAGCCATTTGAGCAAGATGCGCCCTTTGTAGATTGAATTCAATGATTTCTTGGCACACCACTAGAGGGAGCCTCAGTGCATTGTCGTGTTTTCAGTCAACCTCTGGTCCCCCGCGAGAACATCACGGCCTGGATGAACGCCATCGGCCTCGTCATCACCGCGTTGCCTGTAAGTTCCAGCGCATTCCGCTCACTCCGCGACCCACTTCGTCAAACGTCGAGTGGCGTGATGGCCATCCCTCCCCAATTAGGAGCCGTACTGGATTGTGCTGCACGATCGCATTGTGACGGTGATGGGCTCGCCGGCGCTGACGTCGGAGACGGCGTGGCCTCGGGACCCCTTCGCCCTGCTCGACTTCACCGCGTGCCACCAGAGCTACAGCGAGATCAGCTGTAGCTACGTGCTGGCGCTGGCGCATGCTGTCTGGCACCACTCGTCCATCGGACAACTTTCGCTCATTCCCAAGTGAGCCAACCGGGACGCCTCTTGGCACCGTACTGGGCCCCCCACAAATTCCTCATTTGTTCTTTTGTGTGTGTGTGTGTGTGTGTGTGTGTGTGTGTGTGTGTGTGTGTGTAGGTTCCTCTCAGAGACGTTGAAGCCGGTGGTTCAGACAGAGTTCCAGCTGCTGTATGTTTATCACCTGGTTGGACCTTTCTTGCAACGCTTCCAACAGGAGAGGACAAGATGCATGTTGGAGGTTTGACTTATACGGAAGACACGTTTGGATGAAATTGCACCCCCCCTCCCCCACCCCCCCCCAAAAAAAACCTCACAAAGGTTGGTCCAGTTATCCTATTGCCATGTTTGCATGTGTTACAGATCGGCGTGGCCTTCTACGAGATGCTGCAGGTGGTGGACCAACACTGCCAACATCTCAACTACATGGACCCGATCTGCGACTTCCTCTATCACATAAAGTACATGTACACGGGTGACAGCGTCAAGGAGCAGGCAAGTGCGCATGCATTCATGAAACCCTTTCAAAAACGACCATGCATAGTAAGGCGTTTTAAGCTGAAAAAAACGACCATGTGTGTAGTAAGGCATTTTTAGCCCCAAAAAACGACCAAGGCGTTTTTAACTGAAAAAAATGACCATGTATAGTAAGGCGTTTTTAGCTGAAAAAAAAACACCATGTATCGTAAGGCGTTTTTAGTCCCAAAAAACGACCATGTATAGTGTCAGGTTCATTTGTTGACATTAGTAAAATAAAACACCACACAATGAAAGAAGCAAAGACACCAAGTTAATTTTGCTCGCAAGAGAACGAGAGAAGACTGCAGGACGATCTCACCCAACCTTCTCCGCAGTGCCTTCGCTCCTCTCGATTTTTTTTTTATTGAGTACAGAAGATCCCCATCGTACTTGTTCTGCGGAAGCTCATGCGTCGTATGCCATGCAAGACATTTTTGCTTCGTCGTTTAATTTGCCCTCTTATTAACCCACAGCAGCTGTCATCATGCGTCAGTCGTGGTTCTGAAAAGGCTCTCCTGGGCCTCAATGTGTGCGTCCAAAGTCGCCTCCACCCAAACCTCTTCACTGCAAACAGCTTTTAATATGTTCAACAAATGTATCACATCTCACTGAAAACAGCTCTGACAGAAAAACAAGCAAATGTATGCTCGATATACGTCTAAAATGACATTGTGATTCATATTGCGTTTGTGGAATATGCGTTACGCAGCTTCAGCCATCTCAGGGGATCAGCCATTTTGTCACTTGCCATCGACTGAAAATGACATCACAATTGCTCAGGTAATGACCAATCACAGCTCAGCTTGTGAATGGTCATTACCTGAGCAGCTGTGATGTCATTTTTAGTCGAAAGCAAGTCACAAAATGTCTGTCTTGACTTCTCCTCAAAGTGATCTGTTTCTGTGCACTTATAAAAATATTATCAAAATAAAAATGAGCAAAGGCCATCGAAACTTTTGAACAAATACATGAAACATAGCAAATAAAGCTTGGCAGAGAGGCAATAACTTGTTTCTCACTGGTCCGTGTTGATGCGCAGGTGGAGAAAATCATCGTCACCCTTCGGCCGGCCATGAAGCTCCGCCTTCGCTTCATCACTCACAGCAGCAAGACCGACACGTCGTCTTCGGCCTCGTCGTCGTCCTCATCGGCGGCAGCCGTCTCCGTCGTGCCCGCAGCCATCACCTCCACGCCTCAGCCTTTATCCTCCTCCACCTCCTCGATGGTGTCCGCTGGCGCCGCGGCCTCGCCCTCCTCGCAGCACGCACACCCCCCCATGTAGCCCCTTCACTCATCATGTGCGGACTTGACGGGGGAAAAAAAGGAAAACAGACACACGGTAAAAGACAAATACAGACTCTTGCAATCCAGCAAACAAATCAAGTAAGTGCTGTTTATTTTTTTAGCATCACGATAGATCGTATTTTGTATTTGCTTTTTATATCATGTTATTATATCGATACAATAAAATGGATTCCTGCTGTGTCACGATGTTTGTTTTCAACAGTACTTTGATACCCTAACCCGAGTTTAAAACCATACTTTGAAACGCCAACCCTTATTTTCAACGCTATTTTGAAACCCCAGTCCTAGTTTTAAACCCTCCTTGAAATCCTAACCCGAGTTCTCAACCCTACTTTGAAACCTTAACCCTAGTTTACATGCCGGACTTCACATCGTACTCGCCACAACTGGTCATGCGGAGGCTCCTGCGTGTCTCTGTTGGTCAAATTCTCCCATTCAAACCTAAACGTAAGAATTGAAACAAGCCACTGAGCAAAATAGCGTTTGTTGAACTAGCCTTATAAGGGCTAATTTACCTGTAGAATGCACCTCGAAGGCGAATTCTTCATCGTGGTCTGGTGTCATCGTCACTCACAAGTTGAGCTTGGCGCACACCTGCGCTCAACCAATCAGAGGGCTGAAGCATATCTCGACCAATGAGAGGACGGAGAAACTATGTCGTCACCAGAGAAGGCATTCCGGAAGTGAATTGACTTTCTAGTTGGCTCAGAGACCACCTTCGGACTTCTGTCAGAGCGAAATTCCCTCACCCGGAATACAGCATACTATAAATATCGTTGCGGCTTGTTCTAAGGGTGGCGTGTGTTTCTTCGCCAGCAGAGGGCGACCGCGTGATCTCACTGTGTCCAATAACGCAACCTTTGTACTTGTGCAACCTTTGTACTTGTGCGTGTCACAAGGGGGGAAATCACATGCTCAAGCAGTAAAGCTGAAACAAAGAAGAGTGACAAGATCAGACAACAAGGAGGCTACTTAAGGGCAGTGGCAGTTTCATGTTGGACTTTAACGTAAAACATGTTCAATGTTGCAACAAAGTGCACTTAATGGAAAGTAAAACCTCCCCCCCACAAAATAATAAATGAACGTAGTGATGTTTCCAATCTACAACTGCAATATGGCTTACAGGAGTTTTTTTTTTTCTTTCTAGAAATATAATTGTGGTAGGAAAGCAATGCAAGGACATTTGAGAACATGCAAACTCCACACGAGAAAGCCAAATTCAAACCTCCAACCTTCATAACGCAAGGCAGACGTGTGGGACAAATAAAGGATATCTTAGTATCTAACCACTGTTTCACCATACCTCTGTGAGGCTATTTAAAAAAAATTGATATGAAGCACACCATGTATAGTAAAGCGTTTTTGAACCACCGTGTATAGTAAGGCTTTTTTGAATGGCCATGTTTAGTAAGTCTGGGGTTTTTTTTCCGAAACGACCATATATGGTAAGGCGGATTTTTTCCATACGGCCATGTATCGTAAGGCGTTTTTGAACGGCCATGTTTAGTAAGACATTTTTTTTCCCCAAACGACCATGTACAGTAAGGCGTTTTTGACACCCTAATTTGAAGCCCTAACCCAAATTTTACTCTCAATTTGGAACCCCATCCCTAATTTGAAACCCTACTTGGAAACCCTTAACCTTAGTATAAAACGTTACTTTGAAACCCTAACACTAGTTTGTAACCCTAACTCTGGTTTGAAGCCATGCTTTGGGCCCTAACCCTAGTTTGAAGCCCTAGTTTGAAACACCAAACCAAGATCCAAACCTAAATTTGATACCCTAACTCTCGTTAAAAATACAAAACACACACAAGCTGGTCTGTGAAAAGTCGTGTCCTTTACTCGCATTCAATCACATTCAAAGGGGTACGAAGTTGTGGACACACACACACACACACACACACACACACACACACACACACACACACACACACACACACACACACACACACACACACACACACACACACACACACACACACACACACACACACACACACACACACACACACACACACACACACACACACACACACACACACACACACACACACACACACACACACACACACACACACACACACACACACACACACACACACACACAACCACATAGGGACATGCTGGCTTCACCCCAAGTGCACCTCATCGTCATGGTAACGACAGATAAGGAAACAGCACGTTTTGTATGACGCACTGTGTCAACCCTTTCCTAACTGGATGACACCCACATGATCTTATTTCTCAAAACGCCATAAGAGCAGAGGATGGGAAGGGTGCATGAGGCACTGGAAAGAAGGCAGAGGGCAAGAAACGGAGGGATGGAGGAGAGAGAGAGAGAGAGAGAGAAAGAGGGGTGGAGGAAGGATGCAAGACAAAGGAACAGACTGCCGCGAAGGGGCCGAAGAGGAAAGAATGAGGAGATGGATGAGAGGATATGCTGGAAGGGCAGAAAAGATGGAGCGGGGGAGTGAGGAAGGGATCACGGGAGGAAAAGAAGAGATGGAAGGCGAAAAGGGGGAAGAAGAGACGCAGGGGGGAATAGAGGGCAGCGCGTAAAAGGGGAGTGGCGGCGGACAAAGGAAGAGATGATGCAAAGAGGAGGATGAGGGGGGAATGAAGCGATGGGGCGGTTAAGAATGAGTGTGGGGGCTAAACAAAGGCATATAAATGTATAGTAAGGCGTTTTTAGCCGAAAAAAAAAACGACCATGTATAATAAGCCGTTTTTAGCCCCCCCAAAAAAAAAACATGTATAGTAAGGCGTTTTCAGCCGAAAAAAAACGACAATGTATAGAAAGGCGTTTTTCACTCAAAAAAAAAACGACCATGTATAGAAAGGCATTTTTTAGCCGAAAAAAAAACGACCATGTATAGGAAGGCGTTTTTCACCGAAAAAAACAACCATGTATAGGAAGGCGTTTTTCACCGAAAAAAACAACCATGTATAGGAAGGCGTTTTTCACCGAAAAAAACAACCATGTATAGGAAGGCGTTTTTCACCGAAAAAAACAACCATGTATAGGAAGGCGTTTTTCACCGAAAAAAACAACCATGTATAGGAAGGCGTTTTTCACCGAAAAAAACAACCATGTATAGGAAGGCGTTTTTCACCGAAAAAAACAACCATGTATAGGAAGGCGTTTTTAGCCGAAAAAAAACCCAACGATGTATAGTCAGGTGTTTTTCGCCGGAAAAAACGACCGTGTATAGTAAGGCATTTTTAGCCGAAAAAAACGACCATCTATAGTAAGGCATTTTTAGCCGAAAAAAACGACCATCTATAGTAAGGCATTTTTAGCCGAAAAAAACGACCATCTATAGTAAGGCATTTTTAGCCGAAAAAAACGACCATCTATAGTAAGGCATTTTTAGCCGAAAAAAACGACCATCTATAGTAAGGCATTTTTAGCCGAAAAAAACGACCATCTATAGTAAGGCATTTTTAGCCGAAAAAAACGACCATCTATAGTAAGGCATTTTTAGCCGAAAAAAACGACCATCTATAGTAAGGCATTTTTAGCCGAAAAAAACGACCATGTATAGTAAGGCGTTTTTCGACGAAAATAACGACCATGTATAGTAAGACATTTTTACCTGAAAAAAACGACAATGTATATAGTAAGGCGTTTTGAGCCAAAAAAAACGACCATGTATAGTTAGTCGTTTTTAGCCCAAAAAAATGATCATGTATAGTAAGGCGTTTT